GTCCAGTCGACTTCATTGAATAGGACCTCTCCTTAGGGAATGTTCCACGGACCGAAAAACATATTTTGAGAAATTTTCTTCCTTCTCCTTCCCCACATTTTCGACAAAATGTGGAGGAATTACCCCAATTTGCTCCCACCTACCAAAATCATCACAAAACCTGGACAATGTGACTTTCTGACCCTTTGTCTATATGGGCAGACGTCTTTGATCCCTTTTGCATAGATTAGGTCAACTGGTTTGTTCAAAGATTTTTCCGATCTGAAAATCTCCTCATTTGTAAAAATAATCCTCCTCGCTTTTTCGGAGCGTACCGCTTCAAGAGAGCCCTTCATTTCTTTAGTCTGGTCTTCCTCTGAGGAATTTTCAGCATGTAACAGGTACAACGTTTCAAAGCCTTAAGTCCAAGGTTTAATTTGAGCACTCGTTGGATAATCTGCATCCACACTATCAGCCGTGAGGCTATTTTCCGTTAGAATTTCGTGAATTTCCTCGAATTCTATCTTTCAGCGCCTTCACGATGGGTGTGGTCTTTGCAGGGTTTGAAAAAAAATTTCTTCGACTGTTCTTAGTCGGCCTGGTCCCCATGAACGTTTTCATATCCCGTTGGACTTAATTGAAGTACACGTTCGATTCCTGTCACACTTTTAGAATTCGCTATTTCTCCTCTAATTTTTTTGGTGAAAAATTATCGCCGCCCGCGTGCCTTTAACATTTTCCCTGTTGATATGCTTTGCAATAATTAAAATATCGATTAGTGGTTTTTATGCAAAATCGCACGACAAATCCAACGCAAGTATCAGATTTTTATTATCTTCAACGGTTTTAAAGTTAAGAGCTACTTACAGGTAGCTTGGGCATGCTATGTATTAAGATCAGTGTTTCGCTTGGCAAAAACCAGATTGGCCAGACCGCCGGTCAAAAGCGGCCAAAAGTGGCTTTTGGCCACTTGCCAAAATAGGTCGCAAATGGTCAAAAGTGGCCAAAATGCAAAAATGGGGCATTCTACGACAAGGAATAATGATAAGTTAATGATTTTACTAAGGATATTGAGGATTTCGCCAGTATCTTGCAGAATAAGTTGCCGGCTATTTATATGTGACATCGCTCTTTGATTGGATCTAAAATTTCAAAATTGGTTATTAACTCTACAAATAAGCAATAAATTACACATTGCGTCTGATGCATGCATCATTAATTGCCACAGGAATAGCTACGAATTGATCAACGAGCCATTTCTAGTATCAAGCAAATGTATACATTACTTACTATATTTGTCCACGTTGAATTTATTAGAGTGATAATTATTACAGATTATTTCAATTGCATTGTCAGAACTATAATGTACTTTGTGCAAAGAAAGAATAAATAATAAGGGACGAGAGTCTTTTTAAACCCGCCTCGCAAATTATTAGCCAATGGAATACTTTTGACCACATTCGGCCACTTTCTACCATTTTGGCCACTTTTGACCACTTTTGACCACTGGCCAACAAAAAACCATTTTAGCCGGCAAAAGCGAAACACTGATTAAGATTTTGTCATTGAAAATCGCATAATTTTTACGAAGGTAAAAATTTTGTTTTTTCGTAAACTAGTTTATAAAGGATACAAAGAAATAAGGAGTTCACGCATTATATATTAATTTGTCCAAAACTTAAAAATCGTTTTACATACCATGTTTTCTATCATGCCTTGAAATCTGTGTCAAATGATTGCAGCCTGCCGTAAACTCCTCAACATAGAGAAACATAACCAATTCAACCGTTACAACAAAAAAGGTTAATATCGCAATGATAACACAGACAAAAAAGCTTGTAAGTGGGGGTGAAATCGTTCCGTAAATTTGTAGAAGAATAGTGACAATACATACGCCACAAACAATCGGGGTGACGAGGAAAACGACTATGATCCAGGTAATTAGTAAATGTAGTGCCTTTGTGGCGACGAATTTCTTGCTCGTTTTGTCCCAGGTGAAGGGACACGTCCAACAATAGTGGAAAGCAGTTGCAAAGTTTTGCAAAGATTGGCACGCAAGGGGGGACGCCATAGCGGAAATATTTTGTTTCTTCTTCACCAATTGCGAATAAGGGAATGATAAAACCAAGGGCTCAGTTGGCTAAATCGAATGGGTTAGTGTTCGTAAAATATTTAGATTGGAAATCAATTTATTTAGAGTGAGTGAAGTATATATTTATTTACATATACAGGTAAGGTTTAGGTAAATGCAAATGTTCCTTTGCGGAAGTAGTCATGAATTTTTAACTTGTAGAGTTCGTTATAAAACGTAAAGTAAAACTTACCGATCGATTAAGCGTGATTATTAAAACAACGTTTACATATATAACAAAACTAATAATAATATTTTTCTAGAAATGTATATACATAAGATAAAGTTGACTGGATAAAACAGTTTTATGTTTAATTTCTCTTCCGCCAATGGTGTGAAGCCCCTCACTGTTCATACCCGCGCTGTTATGCATACTATATTTATATTCCATAAATTTGGGCCCTGGAATTTGTCGGATGTTTCTGCAGCCAAACAACCTTCGTCCCCCAAGGATGATAAAGAGCAGCATCCTCTTTCTTCCGACACATAGCCTAATTTGCATTGGATATAAAATGAATCTGCATTTATTAATTAAAGCAAGCATGTTAAAATAAATACCTTTAATTCGAGAAATTCCTTGTTTCCCAGCGTTGGTGCCATTTTCATGTTCACTTCATTAATTCGAAGTGAACAGGTCCGATGTCTGCTGATTGATTCCTCCAACCCCATTACGACGACGGAGCTGGCCATTACTAACAATAATAACGCCATCGTATACCCCTAAAAATTACGAATTTGATCAAAATTGGATGCTTAGATAATTGCAGATCTAGTCAATTTATTTCATTTACGAATTTTACCTTATTAGACAGTGTATGTAACATTTATAAACCTATTTGTTCATTAATTTACCTTCCACAAACACACAGGTTTAGAATGCGACTGTGAATTTTCACGAAGTAAAATGAATGTCGCACTTTCCTTAGTAAAAACTCTTTACTAAAGAGTGAATGCGATATGTTTGCCCAACCTATGCATAATAAAGCTAGTAACCAGACGGCGGTTATGTATGTTTTTCCACCTTCTTCATACCAACCAGATGATACTAGAACTTCGTATACTAGCATCCCAGCTAAACACGATCTGAAAAATTCAAACATAGTTTTACATATTTATATGCATGAAGCTTTTGGGGTTTTAGCACATATACCTAATTGCATGCATATTTTGAAGTTTCTTCTTGCATATATTCCTACACATTTTGAGCTACATATTTTCAAAATATGAATATTTTAGTATATATGTATTTCGATTTTTTTTATGCCAGAGTAATTTTCTTCATTCAGCAATTGCGGTACATACATATATACTTTGACTTTGACTATAGACTTTGAGGAATTTAACAACATACATATCCGCCCTATGCTAAATTTCTCTGCTTGCATATCTTTGTTGAGTAAAGCTGACACTTTATTTGTTTATACCTAGTCTGGTCAGATAAAGTGTTACTGGTATAAACGCATAGAACGCTTTCATTTTTGGGAATTCAAATTTCATTTTTATTTCATTGGAAAGACAGTTAAACTTTGAACAGAAAACATGCGTCACACTTGTAAATATTATTCCCTTGTGCCGGTAAACTTTTGAAGATGCCAACGCCAAGCATCAACCACGGCACGCATGGAATTTCTTGATGTGTCACATTGCTGGGTCAGAAATTTTTTTGTCTGATCCTGCTTTGCAGGTCTAGCTTTGCACTGCAGGTCGCCGTCGGCGACCTGCAGGTCTAATTCCAATTTTTTCCGTATGCAGGTCTACGCTTGCCGTGCGGGAGGGTGGTGGGAAAGTATGATAAACGCATATTTAAGTATTTAATCTTTCCTGTACATATACGTGCAAATAATTTCGTAGATAAGTCGATAACTTATTTATCTGACAAGGGAACCTCAACTACTCTCCCATTTCGATATCCTTCCGAATAGCCTTAATCGACAGATAATTTAGTGAAATGTAAACTCTGTTATAGAACATGCTGTGCATAATTACGTTTTCATGAAATTCTGGGATTTACAGAAAATCAATGACCATGAAGCTTCTATTATAAATGACCCCAGTGACCAAAATAAGTACGCAAAGAACTGGATCAAATGAATTTTGGAATCCATGTCATTGGTCATCGTCTTCTGCAGAAAATTATTTTTTGGCTGGACGTAACTCGCTGTCAATAAGTCAAAATTGCTAAAAAGTTCAAAAGATTTGATTTTTTTGCCGAGATGAAATTGTCAAAAATTTACCCCGATGTGGTCACATTGAAAAAGACAGATTTTAAAAGCTAATATCCTAATGAATCAGAAACACCGAATGGATGGACTGGATTCAACAGAATGTGGTAGCAAACTAGCTCCAGGTGGGTGAGAAAAATTGTTTGGGAGTTTTTAGGAAGAAAGTGGTTGTGGATGCCACACACGAAACCTAGCAAACTATGGTTTAGGGTGATTGTAGGGTAGGGTCACTACTTTATCATCGTAAATTTTTAGTAAACCCAGTCTGATATATTTATGGATATCCACATTTTTATGCCAGTCTCTTGCGCTAGGCGCACTTCCCTAATTAATTAACTTTTGAGATTTTTGGTTAAAAAAAACTGTGCGCCAGGAAGACAATAGTTAAGCCGAAATCCAGTGCAAAAAGATCAGTGGCCATACTGCCCCCAAAATGACGCGTTGTCCTTCCTGGGTTTACATAATTATCATTATTAATTATGTATGTACTTGTGTAGTTTTGCACTGTATAACTTTGCAAAATAATTGGACTTTTGCTATATTACTTAACCTAAAATAACTTTGACCGCTGAAGTTTTAAACTGTAAATACGCTTTTCATGTGCTTAATGAAATTAAAATTGGATGCAATGAAACTAAAGTTGTGGAAGGTTTTTTTTTCACTGTGTATAACACTTTATTAATTTTCAATAAGTATTTTCAATGAGGGTATTCAATCACAGGATTCTATAAGCTTAGTAAGATTTTGTCATCGAAAATCGCGTTACTAAGGTTACGATTTTACGAAACTTGACCCCTTGTTTTTTTTATTCGTAAACTACGTTACGATATTAGGGATACGAAGAAATAATGAACACCCTCTGTATTTTTAAGAGCGTAAACTTATAATATTCGAGCAACATAAGTCCATTCTACGCAAACCGGTCCAAAACGTTTCTTGATTTTAGTCTTTTTAGAGCTAGCGGATTTTATGTCGTTTTTTACTTATGTTTTTTTTACTCCGCACATACATAGGTTATCCCATTGCACAACACGGGCACGGAGATGTTACGCAAACACACCCGGGGATCTGTAAAATAATTATAGCTGTATCTTAATCATGGTGCAAAAGAAATTCATAAATATATTATGGGAATTAAAATGACATAATACTTATGTATTCACTGAATAAAAGACGAAAAGTATGGTAATAACTTCTAACAAGGTTTCCAATAATTTATCAAAATATACCTAACTATTCATACACCGTTAAAAAATCAATAATGTAAGCTTTTTTTGTAACAGTCAAGTCTGTATTACATTAAGACCAGGTATTACATATGTGAGTTTTCTTAAATTGGGTTAAAATTTGAAAAGCTGGCACCTTTTAAAAAGATTTTGATTTTGGTTGAAAATTTATTTTTAAATACCGCCATAGGGTAAAACACGAACATGATAGAAAACATAAAAATATGGGGCGCTTGTTCCTGAGTGTGTCAACAATTTAAAATTAATCCGGTCAAAATCAGTGATAAGCACCTCACACCTCTCTATTGTTAGTAAATTCTACACAATCAGACCTCCAGTTCCAAACTTAATTTGATTTTAGTTTCTCTTTAAAACGAAGGGATTTTACATGATTATGATCATTTTGTCACTTTTTATTCCATGCATTTCTTAAACCTTGACTAACTTACGCAACTTCGCGGCTTATCCCAAGCGCTCGTCTGAAAGCCGGGTGGGTAACTGTTTCCGAGATTTTATATGAATCATAAATAAATAAATGAGGAATTTCACGTCAGACTTCGTAAGTCCGTAAGGACATACATAAACTTACGAACATCAGCTTAGGAACCAAAAGCTTTTTTTCTCGTAAGGTTTTTCAGTTCGTAAGCAACAATTATCAACTTTGTAATTTTTTAAGTTTACGCGATTACTGACTTAACAAGGCTGACGTGAATACCTTCAGTTAAATTCTTATCAAAGTAAATATCAAACCCATCCGTACCATCCGCCGTAAATCATGAAGGGGAAATTTTGACGACCTTGTCTCCCACCTGATCGTCCAATGCGATCCTTCTACATAAGTAAATAAGTATATTGTAAAAACTAGTTAAATATGCTGATCCTTCATTATCTCAATAATTTTGCTAATTTACCAACAAATTGGTTGGACTAATATTTGACACAATGCTGACTGATTTATTTGCAAGATTCTCTGGCAGAGCTATTTTACCTCCTGCAAGAAAAAAGTTACATAAATACATTTTATAAATTAGTCCGTTCGATATCGGCGATAACAATCTCACACCTCCTCATTTTTCGAATGAGACGATTCATATATTTGTGGTAATATGTAAATATGCGGTTGACCAATATTTCAAAATATATTAGTCCAACTTTGACTGAAAGCCTTGGGCAAAAATTTTACTAAAGTTTTGGTGCATATTATACTTGTGTATTTGGTGTATAAACCTTACCTTGATCCCCGATTTCAGTACTAGTCTTATACTCTCTTTCCATCGGTAGACTCGTACTCGTTGTAAGAAACAATGTACAAATAATCAATATATTGAGAAACTGAAAAAATAGGATTTATTTATTTATTTAGATAATATAAATTTTACGAAATTTTTCATTAGGTTAAAAATTTAAAAACAGCTTACCCACATTCTACCAAACTTTTGTTTTCGGTTAACTCACGAGGCTACATTCGGATCAAAAGAGTTAAGGATAATGAGAATAACAACCAAGATGCACAATGCGTAAGGCATAAACTTGTACCTGATAAACTATGTAAATATCTGACCCGACCAGGACAAAGTAGTTCCGTACCTCTAACAAAACGGTGAAATCAAGGAGTCAAACCGCATCGTAAAATTAGTAACATTCATCTTTCGTAACGATATACAATGTAATTTTACACCAAAACATGCCTAAAGTGTGTTTTGGGTCCACCCCAACACGCATGCAAAGGATAACGTCCGATATAGGTTCCAACCAGGATATCAAACTGTTAACCTATGTGTTCACGACCACGACCTGGTGCAATAACAATGTACTAGTTAATGAAGGTTCCAATAAAATGTAGCATCTCCAAAGATAAAACCAGTTTTAAGCTCTCATCAAAACCTGCCACAAATATCCAATCGTGTGTTCAAGGAAATATTCAAGTATTGAATTCTTTTCATGTATGTAAATATGTAAGCTACGCTTCAAAATTTTATTTTATTAACTACATAAATATACCGCTAGTTGCATTACATAGTTGTGCATGTACATATGTACATACGTATTTACTTCTATGCCAAACAAGTTAGAGTTCATTTCTTATATTTACACACGTATATATATTTGCCTTTAATACATCGGATTGAATATTTTCGTTACAATCAAATTTTCTTACGCGTGAAATTGAGGATGTGAGGGAATACATAATTGTTACATATTTACATACATAACCACGATTAATAAGGTTAATTACCCATTATGGAAAGTATGTGCGGCATTTTTCATATTTATAACAGTATTTACATAATTGGAATAACGCAGACAAAAAGAGATTCAAGGTTTTTCTCGAACCAAATTAAAAATGTTATGTGTATCACACTTTCTTATTTGCAAAATATTTATTTACAACTTGAGACATTAATTTTCCGGAAAATATATGTAGTGCTTGCAAAATATCACTTGTGTTTATTTACATAATTAACTGCTCAGTCCAGTTTGACACGATTTCCAGAACCTTCCAATTTCCGCCTCTCTATCCGACACCAGTAGTACACTGTCCAGCTAGTGTACATTGTGAGGTAGAAGATGGGCACGTACAAAAATCCGAACAGTGACCGGAGATCGTTAGCTTTAGCATTCGTGGAGGAAAATATACTCCAAAAGATGTGAAATCCTGGGATGACAAATATACCGACCCTCCAGCGTTCAATTGTTGGTAGGTCATTCTGCAAAAATTTTTAGTATCAATTATTGCAGATTCTTGCTAAGAAAAGTAATAATTCATCACCAATCTTAAGCTTTAGTGGGAATAAGTTTCTCATTTATTTTGCGTTAATACAACAGATGATCATTTTGAAACACATTATTAATGAGGGTTTTCACGCCAATTGTACATACTAAATCTGGTAAGGTAAATTTATGAAATCCCATCCTTATGAACTTTCGTATTTAAATATATGTATTTCGTAACAATTAAAAGTTAGGATATTTTGAGCACGATTATTACTTATGCTGTTAAGTCAGGAACTATGTAGCTTTCAAAGCCTTTCTTTACGAAATGAACAGATGAATATTTTTCCAAGGTCTTCCCTTTGTTCATAAATTGGCGAATATTTTTTTTATGAATGCACGGTTACGAAGTCTGTGCAAACCCCCAATTTTTTATGTCGCACCACCCACTAACCTTTCCGACTGCACGAAACAAAGTCCAGAACAAGATGGTCATGAGAGGATTGATGAAAACCATGAACCAGCTGTATATCGCCCACTCGGATGTGCTAACTGAAACAAAAGAAATAATTACGTCGTAAAGCTGGTTATGATTTTAAATAAGATGATTTTCTGGTCATGTGTACGTACTATCCTCGCACTCAGCCCTTGCACCTCATTTGCATATTTTAACGCATTCGCGAGAGCCATAGAGTTTATTCAACATGGAAAGCTCGTATCGCCGAAAATGGGCTATTGAGATTTATGCAAATGAGGTGCAAAGCCTAAGTACGGGGATAGTATGTACAATTAGATGAGATAACAAAAGTTTAAATCCCTTGCAAGTAAATTACATACGCTCAGAAAATTATGTAAGTACCTATGTACATATGTATTTCTTAAATGCAAACTTTTAAGTTGAACATTGCTCAAAGTTACACATAAAGAAAAGCTAAGTATAATATTACTAATAATTTTACAATTTTAATTAATATTGAATGAAATGTGTAATAATTCTTTCATGAAAAAGTTTCCACGTTGAAGTATAATTTTCGCAATTAATAAATATATTTCATACGTTCTGCTAAAAAATTTGCATACCTTCTTCAAATTTCGTTTTGGTGTACTCAATCAATTCTTCTGCTCTGGCAGTGAAGACGAACGTGCCCATTATGGACATTATCTGGAACAATGTAACCACGTAAATACATATGTAAAATTGTGCATGCAAATTATGAATTTTTGCATTTGTAACCCGAAGTATGAAATAAGTAACTTACGAGATTAATTATTAACACCACCTTGACAATTAGTGTCGGATTAAGTCCAAAACAAGGATTTAAATTTCGAAGGAAGGAAAACATAGTTAACAAATATTTATATGCAAAAATATGTTTCAAAATATGTAAGTGAGCAGTAATGCAACAGCTGAGGTTGTTATGCAGTCTGATTTTATTCCTATTCAAGAAGTGAGCACATATATAAGTTCACAGCTTAAAAGGAAAGTTTGCTGTATGTATTCATTAAGTTGTGTAAGAAGACGAAGATGATTTCCAGGATTTTTACATGTGCAGGATATGTACTTGCATGTATTCAATTATTATGTTCCAACCACAACCAATAAGTACTTCCATATACTTGTATGTATTTTCATGCACTCTTAATCCTAACTTTCACCTAGATTTTCATCCAAGCAAATATGCTCTAATAGTTTATTTGCTTATTGATCTTTTTATGTACATAGGTATTTGCGTACTATTTAAATGCTTCATAAGAAACTTGAACTTGTCCCTGATGTACTTTTATCACTCGATATACATAAACTCGGCTAAAAACTGGCATTAAATATTTCCTTACTGGTTGCACTTAAAAATTTGTTACTTCGTACATCCATAGAATAATAGCCAAAATGCCAACCACTATTGAGTCAGCCAAGTTTCCCAAAAAGTTAGCCTGCCAGTTGAATGCACATGAGGGGCCGTTCATGAGTTATGCATGTAACGTGGTAGTGGGGGGGGCGAGGCTACAATGAGATCGTGTCAATGTGACACATGATAAAGCGGGGAGAAGGTTAGGTGTAGAAAATGGTGATTTTTGGTTTACATAATTCCTGGACGGCCCCTAAAAGCAAAACATTAGTGACGAGTCGCCTAATTACAAATAATAAAGAAATGTAATCTATGCAATACAGGAATGCAAACATGTCAGAGTATACTTTGCAATTACTTTTACAATGTATGAGCGGATTTTTCTTACATACATTATAAAAGTCAAATTCAACTTATTTATTTATTTATTTTTATTCCAACGAGGTAACTGAAAAATTTAGACACGACATCCACATAATTAGTTTCACGCAATTTCTACTAGTTTACACCAGCCTCCAACAACGTAATAGTCCCAAGATCCGCATTCATCTCCACCTGTACGCCGATGGGGAGGGTGAATTGTTGTCCAAAGTGTCCAATCATGGCCCCCGAGAAACTTGGAATATTAGCCAAATGACTCCATCTTTCCTCCAGAAGATCTTCCACCGTCCAATGACCCGGTTTATCTGGCACACACTCCATGCAAGTTCCCCAAATGAGGCCCTTCGCATTCTCAAAAAACCCGGCCAAATGCAAGGTCGTGAGCAACCTGTCGAGCCGATAGGTGTTGTCATTTGTATCCTCCAAGAATAGAATGTACGGCTCATCCTGCGCTGGGGCATAAGGGGTTCCAAGAAGGGCCACTAAAACTGTCAGAGTTCCCCCAATAAGCCTACCCCGCGCGGTGCCGGGAACAATGGTCGTTGTTCCATTTGGTGGTCCTCCCCCCAGGGGCGGGGGATTCGAATAGATCACGTTGGGTTCTCCGTCAATCAATACCTTTCGGATGTAGAAAGTATTAAAGTTGCCGCCGAATGTGTCCGTTCCCACGGGACCGCTGAAAGTCACGAGGTCAGTGAGGCGGTTTAATGCAAGTGTGCACCCGGTTAGGTCGCTATAGCCCATGAATACTTTTGGGTTGTTCCGGATCACTTGGTAGTCCAACTAAAAAAATAAATATTAATTAATCCCCTGAATAATAACCCAATCAAATTATGAGTCCGAACCAGATCTAGAATCCGGTTGCAACCCCAGCCCCCTCTGTTGGCAATGATCCCTTTTACGTCAGGGTTAGTAAATGCCCACATAATATCCGAGGCACGTTGCGAATCGTTTCCGGCCAAACCACTCGGCCCGAACTCGAAAGCATTCGGGGAGAAGAGAACATTTAATCCAAGGGCATTAAAGGAACTAGTGACGTGATCCTTATACTCGTCAATATTTGGGAAAACGGCCTGAACTGCGCTGGCTGTATGAATAAAGTGAATTTACATGTAGCGTTAGGAAATTAATGTTTGGAAACTTTAATTTCTGACTCCAACTCAGAAATTTTAACATAAATATTTGACTTAATTTCATGATCTTTTCAACTGTACCTGGTGAGACAAAAGCAATGGTGTCCCCGGGTCTTAGCCGATTTCCTTTGATCGGTGTCCCTGCCCAGGTTGGGTTCGGTTGCAGCAACCAAGCTGTTAAGAAGATCAATCCCACGTGGGAAAGATTTAGTCGACATAGAGAATTACTCATTTTATTAAAAACTTGGAAACCCTTTTCTAGAGAAAAGACGCAATTAGACGAAGCGTATAGTAAGTAGCCTACTGTGATATGCGACTTCGCTTTAAATTTGCTTGACAATTTTTTAATAAATCTGGTAATACTATATACTAATGATGAAATTAATTGTGGAAAACACCTGTTTCCAATTGTAAATACAATCGATTCCTCACTACTGTTAACAACTAATGTAATCCAGCCAGACCTTGTATTATCATTATCACATTCCTCACGAAAAAAAGTTAGTTTGTAGTCTGTCCTGTGTAACTATGAAACCCATCCAGCCAACAAGTCCAAGTTCAACTTCAATCCAGTTTTAAAAAAGGATCGACTACGTCACCCAGACACATCTGTGCCACACAAAAGTCCCATTGTGCATAGAAAATTCCAGCCCGATCCACTTAAGCAACCTGTTGGAATCGTTTATTCATTCGTTCCGTTAAATCTATTTGAAAAGATATAGCGTCGTTGATGGCACACCAAATATATTTTTACGGGGGAGAATATGTCTGGCTGCCGCACTCTTTATTCAAAAATTTTGTACTTTCTTTAGCATACGAAGGATTGGATGACATAGATAATTTAAATTATCTGCTGTACAAGTAATTACTCGTACAATAATAATTGTGGTGTTTGCACTCACCGTGGGCTCTTCATGGGTAACTTAGGGTAGGGTTATCCTAAGAGCTTTGGAAAAGGCTAAATTTTTCTCGAGTACTCTCTGAAACTCAAAGTCATGGGGTAGTTGAGACTGTGCAACTCCACAAGAGCCGTGATTCCGTTCGCCCTCAAACACATTTTTGGGATTACAATTTTGATAGTTTTAAAATCAAGTAAATATTATTTTGCGTATGAATTTCAAATTTTATCAAAATTAGATAATTTTTATTTTTTAAGTGATCAATTAACCGGATTACGACACTTAATTTCCTGCCATTTATGCCCTTAGATTTTTTTTGTACATGCGCCACGTAAAAGCCTGTTACAAGTTTTCTGATTTTTTAAACTTCCAGTTTCAAAAAAACATTTTTATTTCCCGAAGTCAATTTCTATGTCTTGTTCAGTTTTTAGCATTGTCATTATTTTTAAAATGTCAAAAGATTGAAAAATTTTAATTTATAAATCGAATTGTAATGCAAATAGGAATACAATGATATACATAGGAGAGTATATGGTTTTGATGAATGGTTTATTCGTAATTTGGGAGAAAAAATCGCGACTACACCGTGAGAAGTGCACCTAAGAAAGAAACTAGAAATTAGAAAAAAATTGCACGTTTTGGCATTTATCTCGAAAACTGGCTAAGCGCGCCCACAATTTTATTACGAATTATTGATCTACTCAATATCACGCAAGTTTTAAGCCATCCAACTCGAAAATCGTGGGAAGCCGAAAAAACACGATTTCATTGTATATATGTATCTATCTTAACTATGGAAGCATGAGTCATACCATAACTTTAATGATTATATTTTAGAAATGAATACAAAGATTAAATAACCAAAGCAATAAAAAAGTATTCGGAGCAATCGATTTTATGACATCGAACATTCCATCAAAACTCTTTGCTGCTAAACATGAATAGTTGATTGCAGAAAGAAACCATTTTAAATTTACCTATGTATGTCCCTTGAGTTAAATACGCAATAGTTGAATAATTTGTTTTTGCCTACGTGATATTTGTCAGTATTGGATTTTCTGTACGGCTTTATTTACGTGCTCCGTATTGGAACCGATTTTTAATACAAAAATTTGGCTTCAAATTTCTATACACAAAATATTTGTAACGATTTCAACCAGCTTGGGTAACGATCGACTGTATAAATAAATCTATGGCCAATACGACAAGAGTGCACAAAATTCAAATCTGAGTTTACAATTTTAAACAAGGTTAAAATTTTAAATAAGGTGTGAATTTAAAAAAATGAACTTAAAACAATATTTCATGAAATATTTTGTTCTTTATGACACAAATTTAATTTACTATTAACAATTTATCTGAATCAACCAGACTTATGTAGATATTTCGTTGTCGTGATTTTGGTACTGGCAGGTAGCAAAAAAAGTTGTAATAAACAAGTGTGTTTGTGGAAAAATTTATTTTACAAATGCGGTGATCGTTCTCCGCTGAGAGAAATTTATGTACATCCTGCCAAAGTATTAGAATTATTGGGTCTAGAACCCATTTAGCTAGACCTGCACAATGGAAGTAGCAGCATGTCGATTTGGAAAAAAATTTGCGACATTGCCCAAACTGTATAATATTCCACAAGTTTTTGGTGTACCACGGCATGTAAAAAAGAATCCGGAAAAGTTTAGAGGTTTTCTTGCGATGCATATTTTAGATACATTCCACCTTCTTGGAATTATATTTGTTTTAAAACTCGGTCAAATAGGTTGGGTAGATATGACGTTATACGCGAAATTCTACCAATTTATCATTGGTGTTAACGAAGTGAACATATTAATGGAGAGTCATGCCATTTACGTGGATTGGGAGTGGATCAACTGGATTTCAATGGAGTTGCAGAAAATGCGTAAGTTAAGTGATCGTATTCGGGACCGGGGGTTAGAAATTAGCTAAACATCCCAGCATCTCATTGAGGGTATTAATTATGGGTTCTCACCGTTAGAGATTTTAGCAAAAACTTATTTCTGGCTTAAAAATTAATTTAGGATTTTTGTTTCAAAATTATGTACGTCTCCATACGAGTGCGTAATGAATACCCCTATTACGCTACAAAGGTTTTACATAAATAATTAATAATTACGTATGTATGTTAGTCGAGCGAAACAAGTTTCTGATTAACACTTAATATTCAGCCAGAATTAAGTTCTCTAAGCAGTGCTTCCCAATTTGTACATTTTTTACTTTTTACTTCATTGTTTTTTTTTTAATTTGACCCCAAGCATGAAGTGAAACTGTTTCTTGGGGCTATTCTTAACCCATCATACTTAGAGATATGCATTTATTGTATTTTTTTTACTTTCAAAAAGTAAGCAAGTTTTATTATATCTAACATCTACTCAGGTCAGTCCATCCTGGAACCTCGCCAAACTCCTGACCAACTTCAACGTCACAAATTAATGGTGAAAATATGTACCTACGTTCTTCAATATTTGGCTATAAATCTAGCCCAAGTCTATCTCGGGATGGCCACCACACCTTTATTTGGCCAACTTGACACGGGATATTTTCTCATGAGAGCAATTTCGCCAACCTGGCCAACCACGTGGCATGGAATGGCGGTTCGCCTCGCGGTCACCGTTCTGTTCGGGTATCATTGGTTTTTCGTTGCCGTGACGATTTTTACGGCGGTATTGATCGTAATTAGAACCTCGACGGAACTTATGCGCGTACTTGAAGAGGGGACGAAACCGTGTAAAATGGAATACGACTGTCTTCGTATTTTGGCCTTTAGGTCGAACGACGTCGGCAGGTGGGTAATCGGAACGGGACTGGTCGTCATATCAATCCAGTTCGTCGTGTCGGTCAATGTGAGTTTAAAATTTCGAGGGAAAATGCCGCTCATGGTGTATGTCATGTTTCCCCTGGCGGCGGGACTGTTAGTTGTTGTTGCGGTAGTGCTGGTATCTTTTGGAGGTAGGGAAATGACACGGAGTAAAATGTATGTCGCGAAATGGAGCGCATTGGCGAAAAGTGGAGGAGAAGGGGGCGAAGGAAGAAAGTATGAAATTCGGGTTTGGCGGGCGGTGCAACCCGTAGGCGTGGAAGTGGGGAGTTTTGGGTGTTTTGAGAAAATGTCAATCTTATCGTTGTTCGAGGTTTGGATAGACCAGAGTATTGCACTATTGCTCGTTTAGAAGGCAAGAGTTAAATAAATTAATCTAGTTCCACTCTAAGAAATTTTGTCAAACCTATTGCTTATCACCCACCGGTGATGATATGTGACCTTGGTCATAAGCAACCGCTCGGTAACATCTTGGTCTGACCAAGTTTGTCATAACCCAGAAATTAGCCACAAATGTGTATGTACATGGGTATATTGAGAAATCGCTCGAATAAATAAAGTTAAATTAGATGCAAAGATTGAATAAATGTTGATTTTCAAATTTTGAATAAATAAATACATACTACATAAATAATATTTTCCAAAGATTCAATTTTCTACGATAATTTTTTTTTGAATGCTTATCTAAGGTAGTGTTCGACTGGTATTTAAGAATCCTTATGGAATCTGGTCCCGACCACAAGTTCGTTCCTCAGGAAAGCCAGAAGGCTGAAAGAGAAAGGAGGAAAACGTTAAGAACGATAAGACATCGACAAAGCCGATAAGCCCCTCGCCCTGAAATGTATCTGACAGGACCATTTTTCCTATTGTGGGAGGGACTCTTGTTAGCCGGGCTGGCATTCCTTGGGGAAGTATGTAAGTTAACACAAGGTCACACGCGTTACGAGGGTCAGAATTTTGTTTAAGAAGAAAAATAAATATGTAACAATTTTATCTATAAGATATTAAAAATGTGTCATCTGAATTTGCATCATTTTTATTAGCTGATTATTTATTGAATTCATAAATATTTAAATTGGCTAAAGTCAAGGTTTAATTTCCCGAGAAGTTTGAAAATAACTCTGGCATGCAACTACTTTGACTCAATTTTATTATCAATTTAACGACATGGGACTTCTATGTTTATTGCTTTTGAGAACAATAATAAACCAACTACCGGTCCATCCAAACTGCTTGTTGCTAAATTTGTAGAAATAGTTGATAACCTAAGAAAGAAACCATTTTTAATTTATCTAGGTACATAAGTCGATTGAGTTGAAGTATATATGTTAAAGTCGTATAATTAGTTTTTGCATACGTGATACTGTATTTTTCAGCATTGGATTTTCATTAAGGGTTAAGTTGAATGTATACTTACTTACATATATGCTTGTGATTTTTTGTAATAACTTTTCGTCAGGACTGATTCAACAGGAAAATTCTACCAGATATAAATAGATAACGATTTCAATCAGCTTGAATAACGTAAATTAAAATTGGAGTTTGCAATTTTAAACTTGGAATTTTAAACAGTGTTTTAATTTTAAACTATGTATGTTAGAATTTCGCTCATATTTGAATTGAAAAAAACAGAATTTTGAATAATATTTCTTGAATTTCTTGTATGCCTTTATCACATTGACTTTGCCATTAGCAATTACATAATCGAAAACAGACCGTCTTGGGAATGTCATTGTCTT